ACCAGCCCTTCTCTACTACGACCTGTTTGCTCTTCTCATTTCACGTTCCAGTCCAGATCGAAATTCACACATAACTCGACATCATGAGGACAGCATCATTCTTAACGGCTGGGCTTCTCGCCCTTTCAAGTGTTATCTCTTCCCCAACTCCAACGAGGGTGCAGCACAGAACCTCGAACAAGCGGGCTCCTCCAGCGGGATTCGTCTACGCTGAGGACGGCAAATTCAAGGTCGACGGCAAAGACTTCTATTTTGCGGGTACCACCGCTTACTGGCTGACTCAGGTATGTAAATAGCTGCGCGAGTTTATGCCGGTTTCCGCTTGTCGTTTTGCTGCGGGGCCGAGGATCCTGGTTGTCGTTTCGTCGGGCAGTGGCAGCTTCTGCCCATTTTCGGTTGCGATCGCGCCGTACACTTTCCCGCGCCTCGCATGCGGCTACACATTAGTACCTCGCTTTCGAAACATGCGCCAAAACACGTCTTCGATCGGCTCTCCTGACCAATCGAATGCCGATGTCGGTGCGAGCCGTCAGACTCATCGCGAAGGGACGAAGCGGGCGAAACCAATTATCCCACCCAATTCCCCTGAATACCCCCGCCGGCTTCACCGAAACCGAAGTAAAAAGCCTGTTTGCTAATTTAACCTCATTTTCTGTCTCACGTTTAGGTTCAAACTAATGCCGACATCACGAAGACTCTCGACACCATTAAAGCTGACAAGCTCCAAGTCGTCCGTATCTGGGGTTTCCGGGAGATCGTTGGTGAGACCACCGCTGACCCAGCAACCTACACTCAGGTAAGCTCCATCATTCTGTGTCTTCTCTTTGTCTCTTGTTCTCGGCAGTCGCTACCAGTGCTCAGGAGGAGCGTGGGCGAAAATGGTCTGCTTTTTCTGTTATTGGTTACGGTGTTATCATACCGAAGCTTGGGCGCTTCATTGGCTTATCTCGATCTCGACCGGCACGGTCCCCGCCGGTCTCGAACTTTCTTTTTTCTTCTGTTTTGCTGACATCATACCCACTTTACGTAGCAATGGATAAACGGAGAACAGAAGTGCAACCAACCTGGTCTCGACCGTATCAAGTTCATCCTTGACGAAGCCCAGAAGCGCGGCATCTACGTTCAAATTTCCTTGACGAACAACTGGTACGTTGCCCCCGCTTGTTTCTTACATGCTCTCATCGCTCATCGATGTTACCTCTCCTCGAAAACCTAATCGCTGTCTACAATCAACAGGGCACCCGATTTCCCAGCCAACGCCACCACCAAGTTCCCACTCGGCTCCCTCTCCAACTCGTTCGGCGGTATCGACACCTACGTCCAACAAACCCATCCCGGAGGTACCCACGACCTCTTCTACACCGACGAGACCGTCAAGGGCAAGTACCAGAACTGGTTGAAGTGCATCATCCCCCAAGTCTCCAACCACACCGCTCTCTTCGCATGGGAGTTGGCCAACGACCCCCGATGCAAGGGCGACGACAGCCGCACCACCAGCGGAAGCTGCAACGCTCAGACCATCACTCGCTGGACCGCCGACACGTCCACGTTCGTCAAGACCCTCGACCAGAACCACATGGCCGCCTCCGGTGACGGTGGATTCTACTGCACGGACTGCGCGAAGCTCTTCCCCCGCGCCGCACCTGCAACCGTCTCTGGTGGTTCCGTCAACATGGTCGGCAAGCGCGGCGGCAAGAAGCGCACTGGATACCTCACCAGGGCTATGGTCCTCGCTCAGATCAAGGCAAGGGAAAAGGCTGCTTACAAGGCCGCTCGCAATGCTCCCGGTGCTAAGAGGAGCATTCGTGGTTCCTGGTCCGCTCCCGTCGCATCGTTCAAGAGGCTCAGCTCTCGCCAGGACTCTTCCGTCGGTCCCGGCTACGACGGTTCCTACACCATCGACACTGAGGACATCGGCAACGTCCCGACCATCGACTACCAGACCTTCCAGTTCTTCCCCGATCAGAACACCTACAATGCTAACGGACAAGATACCAGCGGCCCCCCACCCGGTGGAGCTGGTGGTGCCAACTTCCAAGCGACGGTTCAGGCTGGTTTGGATTGGATCACCAACCACGCCGAGACTGCTCAGGCTTTCAATAAACCCACCATCATGAACGGTTTCGGTCTCGTCAACTCGGACAGCAGCGGCAGCTTCGTTCCTTTCTCCGGCACCACCGTCGCGGCTACCTCCAGTGACAACTCGGCCAGGAGAGCGAAGCGCGATCAGGCTGTTTCGAGCGACGACCAGCAGAACACCGCTTACGGCAGCTGGACTAATCGTACGTCGTATCGCTTTGCCATTCTTGATGAACAGTAACTAATATAGGCCTCCTTTCATCCTCCAGAGGCTGTCAATTCCGGCATCAACGGTATCACTAACTACCAGCACGGCGAGAGCGGCCTCACCGGCCAAGACTCGTCCCAAGGTCACAGCAACAGCGGCTCCGACACTCAAGGCAACTCGCCCGACGATGGTTATCGTATTTCCAGTCAAGGTATCAACACCATTTTCAGCAACACCGGCCAGCAGCAGATGGACAAGTCTGGAAGCGATTCTGGTTAAAATGGATAAGACACTATCGTTTCGCTTGTGGATCTTGCCGTTTTCTCTTCTCTCTCATGTCATCTAAAGGATATTTGGTTTGGTCTTCCTATCTGGTCACGTTACATCTCTTACGTTTATTACTTATCACGCTTAGTTATCCCTCTCCTCCACTTCTCGCTGCCCTCCCCCCCACGCTCTCCGTAACTTCTCCGAGTTCCATTCTCCCTCCTCGCTACTCTCAACCCCTCTCCTCGATAACGCTCCCCTCCACTTGGACACGGTCACGACCTCCTCTCTACCCACTCGGAATTGTTTTCATGTGCATTTTGCTTTTTTCGGAACGCTTTTTTCTCTCTAACGGAAACGGACAGTTGATGGATAATGTAGAACTCGTCGGTGCTTTTTTTTGCTTCCACTTTTCTCCTTACGCCATGTCTATTTTCGGGATTTGACACTGTACGTAGCTAATTTTGGATCTGTCTCTCGTTGCTCTGTGGCTCTCTATGGGCTACGTTGAGCACAGGATCTCGTGTTGATTTCGGAATGGACATATTTTTTTTGTGCTGTGGATCGAATAACGTGTGTATGTTGATTGGTCGTACCGAGTGTCTCTCTGCCTTGCTTCTCGCGCTTGTTTGGACCATTGGCAAAGCTTGACGGTCAGTGCTTGGGAAGTCCGTCTCAACCACGTAGAGACGGCACGCCACCATGCCCAGATCATCTCAATCAGTCGTCCTCATCAACGCAGTAGTCAGCTCCATCGTCTGGCTAGTTCAAGTCTTTGCTCCGAATTTGCTTTATGACGGACATATCTCGAAATTCGTCTCCAGAACTGCGGGTCTGGTTCGTACTCCTTTTCTCTCCTTAGAATCATCCAGTAACCTTACTGACGACCTTGTGGCATTACCGCTTCCAATACATGCGGCTTCAATTTCTACTTGTCAGAGACATCCAGGAGCGTTAACTCCAGAACGAGAGCCGATGCACGGGGTCCTAGCATGCTTCCACCTCGCTATCCTCGTGCACATCTGGTCTTCAGCTCTCTCCTCGAGACCACACGCTCACGTCGGAACGGCCTTGATGGAACTCACATATGCGCTCTCCGCTGGAGTCATGTGTGCCTTCTTCCCAAAATATGGGAGTGGAGTGGCGTTGTTCGGCGCGGTACCCAATTTCCTCTTTGCCGTCGCCATTTGTCGAGCGGGAGGGTTCGGTGTCGGGGACTTGCTGGCGATGTTGAGAGGAGATGTGGCAGTGGCGAGCGTTGATTCGAATGGGAGGAGGAAAGACCTGAAGAATTCAAGCAAGGGTGAATGAGAGAGGCGGTGTTTTGTATGATAGATTGGGTTGTAGTTGGTATCCTTTAGCTCAAAGTGCACTCCTCGGCTAGTGTATTCGTCCTAGTCATCAAGCAAAACGACGTTGGCGATCATTTCCTGCACGTTGTGTGACCTAAGGATAAGTTCCTGTACTCTTAGTAGTTACAGTTACTTGGTATCATAGTGCGGCGCTCGAGTCCGCCACACAGAGCAACTCCGTCCAACCACAGCGGAACCTGCTTTTTTGGGACCCACCTTTGTCAATCATCCCAAGGCCCAATGACCAAGTCCACTCAACCCATCGTACTATTCTTCGCGATCGCGGGTACGGTCGTCTGGCTTGCCAAGACCTTCGCGCCAGACTTGGTCTACGATAGTCCCCCTGCGAACTGGTTTTCTCAAGTTGCCGGACTGGTAGGTCACTTCCACTCATTTCCTCGCCTATTCATTTCGAACTAAAGGTCCTTATGAACTTTGCCGCTTTTTGGACACTTTGTGTGCAGGAGCGTCTTGGCACTATGACACCAGATCGCGAGCCGGTGCAGGGCATCGTCGTCTGCCTTAATTTTGCCATCGTTGCCTTCATTTGGCTCGCCGCTCTCTCGTCCAAAAGGGACTTTCATTTGGCGGTAGCGATCCTTGGAATGTCATTCGGTCTCGCATCAGCTGTGACCTGTGCGATCTCTCCCAACTACGGAAGTGGTGTCCTGCTGTTTGGCGCGGTCCCGAATTTCTTCTCTGGACTCGCGGTTTTCGTGCTGGGAGGTTTCGGATGGAAGGATTTGCTTAGTGCAGACGATGAAGGCGCGAAAAACTATGTGAAGAAGGAGCTTTGAGTGGTAATCCGGAGTTGGAAGTTGTCAAGTAATTCCAATTCGTCATATCAGCTACCTCCTCGCCGCTTGTCTGTTGTGGGATATTTACTCCAATCCAAGCTAAGTTGCCTCCATCGTCCATTGCGAAGAGTTCTGGGCGCACAGACGGAGGATGCCAAAAGGCTCTTATGGCTGCGCGGACGGTGCCGCAACCAAGTGCGCGACGTCGGACAGAGCGTCCACCACAAAACGCACACGGTTAAAAAGAGCGAACTTTCGCCGCACAATTGACAGAAAGTTCCTCAAAAAGCAAAATTTTGACGCCTACAGGACTTGAACCTGTGACCTTCAGGAAGTTCCAAGGAAGCTGGAATCTGACCGTCTACCACTGACTTAAGGCGTCTTGTTGGAAACGAACTAGCGCAAATCTATTATATAGTTAAATAACTCTTCCGCTTATTCTTGTCCGTCACCCGCCCTCCCGATAGCAAGGCAGGGACTCTCTCCTTCCTCAGCCATCGGGCTCTCTGTCCTACCGCTGAGCGTAGTGGGGGCGAGCACCAGTAATGGAACACTGTTCACATCCTCCTCCCCAGTTCTAACTTCAAACAGAATTATAACATTTATAACAGCTCCCGTCAAACAACCTAATCCTTCTTAACACCTTTCCTATCCGGGAACCCGAGATCACCATAACCCGTCCACTCGGGATTACAAGCCCTGAAACGTTGCTTCTCCGAGATTTTCAACAGCTCCTCGATCTCCTCGTCCGACAAATTCACCAGCTTCTTGTTACTCTCTATCCTCGCGTTACTAACGGATTTGGAAATGACCGTCGTATTTTCCATGTTGGCCCAGATGGAGATGAGGATGTTCGCTGGGTGGACGTTGTGCCGTTCGGCGATTTTGACGACGACTTCGTTGGTGAGGAGTGGTGAGTTGTCGGATCCGAGCGGGGAGTACGCGGTTACGACGATCCCTTTTTCTTTGCAGAGCTTGCGAATGTCGGGTTGAGGGCAGGAGCTGGCGGTAAGCAAGCGATGGTTAGCCAGTGCGACTCGCCCTTTCGAGCGAAAGACCGGATTTCGCGACGCTTACGGGTGAAGTTCGATTTGGTTGACGGCAGGAACGTAGTCACTGTTCTCAAGCAGCCTAGTAAGGTATTCGACGGAGACGTTCGAAACACCTGGAGGGGCAGAGCAGCCTTGTCAGCATCAGGCCGAGGGCGGTCCCAAAGCAAAGCACCCACCGATGGCTTTGACCTTATCCGGGTTCAACTTCTTCACATTGACCATCGCCTTCCAGGTATCAACCCAATCGATATTCTTGTTCGCTTTCCAATCTTTTGTCATGGGCGCCGGCCAATGCATGAGCCAAAGATCCAAATAAGGCGTATCGAGCTTCTGCAATGAGCTGAGCAAGGCCTCCTCGGGGTCTCCGTGGTCCGGGTTGTTCAGCTTGGTGGTCAAGAAGATATCTTCTCTTTTCACGCCGGAAGCTTTGATCCCTTGTCCAACCTCGGTTTCGTTGTCGTACCCAGCGGCGGTGTCGATGTGCCTGTACCCAGCGTCCTTGAGCGCGTACTCAACGGCATGCTCGACCTCCCCTGGTTTGGACTAGCAGAAAAAAATTCCGCACGCGTCGTCAACCACACAACCCATCGGCATTACCGGAACCGCTCACCTTCCAAGTGCCCAGTCCGTAAACAGGCATCTTGTCCCCGGTGTTAAGTGTAACGTAGTCGTATACAGGCATGATGTTTCTTCTCTTATACGCCGAAGATGAGTAAGGCGAACCGAAGTTTAGAAACGGCAGAGAGGAGCGAGTGGTGGAAGAGAACGATCGTGTTGCAACCGGTACAAGAGGGGCGGTTTGAGTGGTTCTGGTTGGTTTTATACCAGGGGAAGCGCCGATCAACGACGTCAGTTTTTGCGTATGTCGGTGGAGGTGTGTTGCCGGTAGGCGCGACATCTGTCACTCGGCCGAGAGGAGCGTTTAGGTTTATTCTGTACAGTAAGTAGAACGAATGAGTGAGGGAAACGGGCGGATGCACCTCGAACAAGTCTGCAACTTTATCACCCAGACTGGGAAATTTTACCGATGTTTTAGCGGATGGAAGCCACTTTATCGTTTACTTAAGGGTATTACAAAATGGAAGTACGAGCCGTTTCCCCGAAAAACCAAGGGTCCGAGTAATACAGCACAGTAAAGGCAGGAGGGATGGGAAGACTAATAAAACAACAGAGGAAGCGATAAGGAGGGAATTTTGGCGACGGGCCAATGCCGTTTCTCTGTCATACACCGGACGTTGAAGCCGTAGCGGGAGGTTGTCCGGTTGCACCATCAGCAACAGCAGGCTTTGGCTTATTTTTGCTTCCTTTAGGTCGACCCCGAGGTCTTTTAGCGGGAGGCGCGCCATCCGAGGCGGGGTCTGACGGAGTCGAGGTGACAACTGGAGCAGCTGCTGCTGGGGCCGTGGCTCCTGTTGTAGCTGATTTTGGCGGTCGACCCGGACCTCTCTTCTGAGGTAATTGGGATGGAGGTGGAGGTGAAGAGGTTGGTTCGGGATTAGATCCAGAACTGGCCACTTCTCCGGGATGGCCGGTAGCACTGGATCGTCGTTGTTTTGCACTGCTAAAAACGTGCCATTTAGTTAGGGAGGGCAAGGTATTTGGATGGCAAGAAAGCGAGGACTAACGCTCTCTCCTCTAGTTGAGACTTTAGGGATTTACCCTCTTCAAGGCCGAGTTCGCGACGAAGCTTGTCAACTTCAGCTTTCGCGGAAGCGTACTCGCCGTGTTCGAGCTCATGGATCTTCTTTCGAAGATCATCGCACCTGCACAAAGAGGCCTGCTCAATCATCCTGAAATACGTGTATGCAGGACGGTCGAACGCTTACTCTTTTTGTGCTTTCGACTCTTCCAGGTCGACCTGCTCAAACAATGGCCCGTTGGTTGGGTGAACAAGTATCTCTAAGCTGCGGGCGTCACCTTTTCTCGGTTTTCGTTTATTTCACGGAGCTGAGCCAGCAATGACGTGCGTTGAGACTCTTAAAAAAGCTCGCGAGGTCAGCCTTTCAGGACCGAATAGCGAGTTTGGAGCTTTTACCCAGCCGTTCCCGTTGTTTCTTAAAGTCGTTCAAAGCCTTGACCTTCTTCTGCAGACTCGTATCATACGACATGATCTTGGTTGTTTGGAGTTGCAGAGATAAGGTGTGTTTCCTTGGAGGGTGGGTAGGAGTCAGTTCCGACATTCGAGCTCTGAGAGGTTCTCAGTATTGGCACTTTAGCTCTGCGGACTTGGCCATCTTCACTAACGGGTGGGTCCAATCATCTTTTCTACTGGCAATAATATCCCCCGCCGCCCCACCTGCACCAGATGCGCTACTCTCCGCCTGCTGTTGGGGGTGTTGTTGGTGTGGGTGCGGTGGTGGTTGTTGCATCGCCTGGTGGTGTTGATGGTGGGTGGATAAATCATGTCTAAATACCTGCTGCTGAGACGAGCCGGGGATCACTTGATGCTGCTGCTGCTGTTGTTGCTGTGGGTGCTGGTGAGGCTGTGGATTGGGAGGAGCGGCGTAATGGCTTTGATAACCGGAGGGAGGTTGTTGTTGGTTTGTATTGGTATGAATTTGAGGCTGATGAAATTGTTGTTGGTGGTACTGTTGGTATTGAGTGGGTGGAGCTGTGTTGTAATTCTCACTCATACTTAGAGCGTGAGGGGTGGGAGGGGGACTTCGAGGAGCGGGAGACTCTCGTGCAAGGGGGTGATTGACGAAAAACACGTTGACGGTGTTCGGGGCCCGGGCCCGGCGCAGTCACGCAAGGGACCCGAGACACCAGCTCACGGCATCCGCAATAACCTCGACCACCATAACATGAAGAACAGCGTATATAGATCTAGATTCGTTCATAGGCTACAGTCTACTACCGGCAGAGTGATAACCTGCCTCGAACTGTACCTCCTTTACAACCGCGGCCAACCTCCTCATCGCCTCATCGAAGTCCTCCTCTGCCAAAACACTGAAACAAGCTCTCACGTACGCGCTCGTCCTCCCGTTCGCGAAGAAACTTGCACCAGGAAGCGCCAGGACCTTTTCCTTCAATGCTCGTCGTACAATCAAATCCTCGGAATCTCCTTCAGCCGAAGCAGGGACTGGTGGGAGAAATAGCCTGAACCAGACAAATAGACCCGCTTCCGGTACGGACCACTCGGCCAGTCCCGTTAGATGCTTTTGCATTGCTGCGACGAAAAGATCTCGTTTCCTGCGGTAAACGCTGGAGATGTAGTCGACGTGCTGTTGGTAGCCCTCGTAACCCCAATGGTTTAGGAGGGTGTATGTCACCGCTTGAGTGAGTCCTGAAGGCTGAAGCATTGAGGAAGATGTCTGATCGATGAAATGGGAAGGAGGCATGAGATGCTGAGTTCTGGGACCGCCGGGGCTAGTTGATTGCTTACGATGAGATTTATTGCGTTTGTTATGGCAGTTGGACCTGAGACAAAGCCCATCCGTATCCCTGATATTTAAATCAGCATGGATATCGCGTCTCCCAGAGTGCGATACTGATATTCACCTGATGATAAGATCTTGGAAAAGCTGTCAAACCTCAGCACATGGCCAATGGATCCTGGAATTTCCTTCTCTAGCTGGAAGTAGCTTGGCGAACGAGGAGATTTCCCATAGTATAGGTAAAAGTATGGATCATCTATGTCGTGCACCAGTGATCATCAGGATATACACGCTTCACTGAAGTAGCGACAGCGAACCAACCTTCAAATATTAAGAAATTGTACTCTCTGGCCAGTTTCAGCACTTTCAATCGTCTCTCGAGCGTTGCACTCGCTCCAGAGGGATTGCAACCGTACTGTCAACCCATCTATCAGTCAGTAAACGGATGGGCCGTGCCGTGGCTCTCCTCCGGTCTTACTACATACCGGCACGGTGTACAAAAGCTTCGGCATCGGTCTGTCCTTTGGCCAGTTTTGAAGAATCCGCTCCAAGTCATCAGCTACGATTCCGTCAGCATCGGTAGCGACTTCCGTTGTATTACATTTGAGCAAGCGGAATATTGGTACCACGCCCCTAAAACGTGATACAGGTCAGTTCGCCAGCGGTCAATATCTCGAGAGCGGTGTTCGCCCATCAACGTACGCATAAACAGGTGCTTCGACGAGGATCGGATCGTCTTCGTCCAGGAGACACGTAAATGCCTGATTGGCGTTGAATTAGACTATGAGTTGGCTCTGATGATGGCCCGTCTGAATACTCCGTGTTACTATTGCTCACCTTGAACAACAGATCTTGCCCACCACATCCAACGCTCAAAGACCACCCTTCACCATCCCCGTGCCTTCTTTTATGGTAGCGCTCTTGGAGCCCGTAAAGCCAATCAACGAACGTTG